GGCTTAAGAAGTCCTTATATGGACTTAAGCAGTCACCAAAGGCGTGGTTTGGGAGATTCGCAAAGGCAACACTTCAACAAGGATATCAGCAAGCCCAGGCAGATCACAATTTATTCTTTAAACGGAATAATGAGGGAATACCTATTCTCATAGTTTATGTGGACGATATAGTCTTGACAGGGAGTGATACAATGGAAATGGAAAGACTGAAGAAGGAATTAGCAGCAGAATTTGAAATGAAAGATATAGGAAGTCTTAGGTACTTTCTCGGCATGGAAGTTGCAAGGAATAAAACAGGGATCTCAGTGTCACAACGGAAATATGTGTTAGATCTTCTGCGAGACACAGGAATGATGGGCTGCAAACCTGTGGAAACACCAGTCGACTTTAATAAAAAACTGGATAATAATGGTAACAGCGAGCCGGTTGAGAAAGGAAGATACCAGCGTCTTGTTGGTCGACTTATCTACCTGTCTCATACTCGGCCGGATATCGCCTTTGCAGTTAGCCGTGTTAGCCAATTCATGCATGCTCCAAATAGTGAACACTTCGACGCAGTCCTTAGAATACTCCGGTATCTTAAGGGCACTCTAGGGAGAGGACTTTTCTTCAGAAAATTTGGAGAAAGAAATGTTGAAGCATACACCAATGCTGATTGGGCCGGGGCAATAGAGGACAAGAGATCAACCTCTGGTTACTACACTTTTGTTTGGGGGAACCTAGTAACTTGGATGAGTAAAAAACAGCCAGTTGTGGCTAGAAGTAGCGCTGAAGCTGAGTTGAGATCATCAGCTCACGGTATTTGTGAGGCTTTGTGGCTGAAGAATTTGTTAAAAGAAATTGGTGAACCTCTGAAGTCTCCGTTGAAGATTTACTGTGACAACAAGGCAGCAATCAATATCTCACATAATCCAGTCCATCACGACCGGACAAAACATGTGGATATTGACCGACATTTTATAAAGGAAAAAATAGAAGATGGCACCATCTGCGTGACATATGTTCCTTCTTCAGAACAGACGGCTGACATCCTTACCAAGGGTCTTTCAACATATTTGTTTGAGAAGTTTGTAGACAAGCTGAACATGTACAATCTGTACAGTCCAGCTTGAGGGTGAGTGTAGAAAAATCAGGACTTAGATAGAAAGATCCCTAGATTATAGGAGTAGACGTATCTATAGGAATTAGTTACAGTTGTTTAGATTTTATATTCTTGGTATTACTAGTGTATATAAAAAGCTGAACATACCTAATGTAATCAATTAAGTTCCTATATTAAAAGCAGTGTTCTAGCGTGTTTCCTTCCTCATACTTGTTTACACTAAGCTTGGACAATCCCAATCTAAGGCATCAATTACTGAGAGTAAAGTCATGTTGGAAATTAGTTATGAGCCAGCTTGCCTAAGTCAGGTTCTTATTCTTCTTTCCTTTTTTTTTTCTTTTTTTTCCCTCTTTGTATGTGCGTGCGTGTGTGTGTGTAAAATTCTGAATACAAGTTCCAGAATTCAAACATGGTTTTTTTGACAAATTTTTAATTTCTCTTTTGCTGCAGCCTAAATTTGGTGGGAAAATTGTTGATATTGTGTCAGGGGATATAAAAACACCAGAACAGAAAGCGGAAGCTTCAAATGAAGTCAAGGATACAATACTACATATATTTCTGATTGTTGTAATAGGGTATGAATATTGCTTCTGTAGTTTTCATTCTGTTAATTCGTCTATCTGTTTAATCCACTTTCCCATCCTGTCTATCAATTAGTATGTGGTCAATGCAGACACTGAATGGAATCTTTGTCTGTGAACATAAATTTTTAAAGGTGCAAATTCCTGCTATTCAAAAGTAAATGGCATTTTTTTCCCTTTATGTTGAATTGGACTTTGTTAAACATAAAGAGAAAAAAAAATGGTGTTAAACTATTGGAAATCATTTTTAAAGGGTTTTGTTAAACTATTGGAAATTAATTCTATTTTGAGCAATTTTGATGGTGAGTTTTTTTATGGAATTTTTTGATAGAGTGCATTGTTGCAGGACAATGTAACAAAAATTTAGATTTGACAAGCTCATAAAACAATATAATTAGGCATCTAACCAATGATGTTCATAACATTCTATGATGAATTGTAAAGATGCTATTTGAAGTAATGGTTGTTAGGCTACACACGAGGGGTGAATTGGGTTTTAATAATTGTTGTAAACATTTTATCATTATTGAATAGTTCTCACTAATTATAATTAACCAACTATTACCTCGTTCCAATCTCAACCCTAACAAACTATTGGCCAACATGGTCCGTACAGGTTTAGGAATTGAACTTTATAGTATTATATCACATAAAAATAAGGGAGAAAGAGAGAAATATGCCAAGACTTGAGATGAATTAAAATTAATAGGCCAATAGTTTACATAAGTTAATAAATATGCCAAATTACTGTTTTCGTCCATAACTTGTCTGGTTATGAACCATAACTTGACAAGTTATTGTCCATAATTGTCCATAACTTGTCTGGCTATGAATCATAACTTGACAAGTTTATCCATAACTTTTCTGGTTATGAACCATAACTTGACAAGTTATTGCCTATTAATTTCTATAACTAAAAATTGGCCTATATACTTTCTTAAGCTTTTCATATTGGCATATTTTCTACTATTTCCCTAAAAATAAAAGACTATGTGGGTCTAGTCGAGCAAGGCCAGTTAATCTATTAGAGATAATTACATTTCATGACAAGAATTTATACCTTAAATCAAATTTAAAGAAATTTTTAGAATATTACTAAATTGGCAAAATAACATAATAGTTATCATAATGATCTTACATTTCGTACTATATAATTACGTAATCATTATTTTATTGATATTAAACTTTGTTTTTTTTATAATATTTTTAAAAATTTAATCATATTTAAACTTGAGTATTGAAATTTTGTTATGCGTGTAAAGAGCCCCTTAACTTTAGCCACAACCCTAATCTCGATCCTACTCTTGAGCCTAAGCCCAACCACAACTATGGTCTTGATTTTGAAAAGAATAAATTTTTAATTTACGGAAAAAATGAAAAACAAGACTCCTTAATTTAAAAAAAAAATTAGAGCAATTTTTAAAATATAAAACAAAACAAAAAAAATTACAAAACGTGGTTTCTAAAAAAAATTAACTTTTCTTTAAAATTAATAAAAAAAATTGTTTCAAAAATGATTTAAGACAGAGTATACTATGGATATTTAAGGACCGCAATCCATTTATTTAATGAGGTGATTTTCATACATCGTTAATTTAGGGACTAACTTTGATATAATTATCATATTTAACATTTTCATCCATTAATTAATAAAGTAACTTTGGTAATTGTTTTTGGTTACCATCAAATTTTGTTATAGCTTTCAACATAGGACTATTTCTAAGAAGATAAAATAGTTTAGAAGTCCAATTCTACGGTTTTCATTCAAAAATCAATAGATTACCTTCCATAATGCAAATTTTTGGTTTGAGGATTATTTATTCGATAAAATTTACTAAACGACTAATTCTAGAAAGAAAATAGAATTAAGAGACTAACTATAAATTTACTCCAAATTCTTATACTTAATTGGCATAGTGAACAGCGTAATAACGTGTGTAATCTTACAGAATCAAGCTACTCATATGTCATTTGACCTTAATTTCAGAAAGTTAATTTACACCCACTAATACACCACGGTTTTTGTAAAAAGAAAGAGTTTCCGCACCTATACGAGGCCAAATTCATTTTCACAAATAGATATGGTTGTTCGTTTGAACTTAAATTTAGAAAAAATGTAAATTCAAGTTACAAATTTATTGAAGCTCATATTCTTTTATAAAATTTGAGTTTAAAATTGAGTTTTAATTTGAATTTTAACTTAAATATGAGATTAAAATTTGAGTTCAAGTCTCCCTTTTAACTTAAGTTCCTAAACTCAAACTCAAGTTAATGAACTGTATTTTTTTTACTCTTAAAAACGTTATAATTTTTTCGTTTTAATTCCGATTGAGATGATTTTTTTTATACGTTCACAACGAAAAGACAAATAAAATTCCGCTCATATACCCTATTAAAATTTTCTATCATCTTTGAGTTTTTATTAAAATACTATTTAAATACAAACTCAAATTTTGATCAATTTAAATATAAATTCAAATGTACACAACTAAATACAAACTTAAATTATATTTTTAACTCAAATTATAACTAAAATTTAATTTAAAATCTATATTTAAATCACCATAACCCAAAAATATAACTGAATTCCTTGTGTATCTAGTAGGTGGAAGGTACAAACATTAATGATTAAATATTTGCCTTTTGATGTCAAATGGTAGCTGATAAATTTTTTTTTATTGCCCTTGAATGTCCTCGACCACAGCGCTCCGTCCGATATAATTTATATTTATATATTTTGCCACCTCATGCACTTTAACGGTTCAGATGCTTTCGTGGAATTAGTGGAACTATATATAAATGCGTTGAAGAATAGCAAGCCCTAAAAAATGATTTCAGAAAACTTTTTGTTTTTTTTTTTGTTTTTTTTTTTTTCTTTCTCTCCCGATTGAAATAGACAAATAATAACACCGCAGTCCCCACCTCCAACGGCTACATTTCCCCTTCTCTCTCGTTGTTCTGTCTTCTCTCCATTTCCGATCCAAAACCCTCTCGATCTCTCTCCTCCGCCTCCTCTCTCTCTCTAGATTTCGCAGCCATGAAGCATTTCATGCAGCCAAGAAACGCTATCTTGAGGGAGACGACGATTGGAGTCCGACGCCGCTGAACCCTAGCGTAGCCTAGGCCGGGCCTTCGCGGAAACAGATAGGCTTCAAGGAGAACGCTCTGCCTCTTTGCCTCCGATTCCAATGCACTCACCGGCGTTTTCCGCTGCCAAGAGGAACCTGAGCATAGCATGGAGACGGTTCCCGAGAACTCCATCATTGGAATCTGCGAATCCGGTGTCCAGGTATGGTTAGGTGTGGGTTCTGACTGTGGAGTTACTTCCTTTATTTAGCTGCCGAAGGAAAAAGGTGAAGTTCATTTTTTATTCTGGAGAGTAAAATTAGGGCTTGATTTGGATTTTCATTGAGCCTATAAGAGGGGATTTTTTCCTTTATTCAAATTGTTCATGTAACTTGACTCTTTGAGGTTTCTAATGATTGTTTTGCTTCCGTAATAGTGCTTATCGTAGCGACTTTTATAATTCAATTGATTGCTTTTCCACGGGTTTCATGGATTCTGCCGCAGCATTTTCTGCTCAGCCGCTTCAATTTGATTTATGATTGTATTTACCTGTCTACCGAATTCATGGTTTTAGAAAAATGTTTGGATTTATTCAGCCCTCAAATCGAACCCAAGCATTCGTTTCTCTGTCGTTTTTGTTCCTCTGCATTTCCTTCTAATCTCTCGTTTCTAAACTGGGTTAAGGACAAGAAAGGTTTGGTTCTTCATTCCCCTCCCCCCTACAAAGCCGATTTCATTAGGAGAGACATGGCTTAAGTTATTAATTGGTTTTATGAATACGGGTTGAGGAAGTTGAATAGAAATTGTTGTTAGCAAGGACTTTTTATTTATGGTATTACTTTGCCCAACCACCGTGATCTCAAAATTTCACTGATTCTCTCAGGGAAAAACAGGTAGAGTGGGTTTTATTTCATTGATATTTCTATTCTGATTATTTTGAGACAGATGCGGATGATTTTTCTGCCTTTTGATCCGCTGAACGCATTGTTTGTGATGATATATTGGCATTGAAAAACTTTGATTCGCTGGAAAGATTCAAACCTTCGTTTTATTGTTTTTTTTTTCTTTTTTTCCTTAAAAATTGACAGAGGCACTGGCATAATTTGCATTTCCCGTAAGTAGTGAAACATAAATGTCATAATCATGCTTTTTCTTTCTAGTTCAAATAAAATTGGGTCTTAGTTGGTAGGTTTGGTAGAGTTTCAGAAGACGATGATAATATAGGAAACACCACTTCCATTGCTTAGTACAAAGGTCAAGACAAATATGTCGTTTAACAAATTCATTTGAGAGGTTAGTATTTTATTTTTCTCTATTCTCCAACCATATAGTTAACTTCAATGATCATGTTTTCATAGATCAAATGGGTAAAGTTCAAGTTTATTTATGGATTCAATAATTTTATTATATTTCTTCACACTAAGGCAATTGATTCCATGCTATTGTAAAAGGTTGTAGTCCTTCTTTTGTCCCTAAAAGTCCATCTTAGTTTTATTGGATTCTCCTTTCTATTCAGCTTCTAGTTGTATACTTGGGATTGATATTGTAGTAAGAACTTCTAGGATTTTGGAAAGACACAAATGCTAGTTTAGAGGTGGCTGTCACTGAATAAGCTTTTTAATGTTGCTGAGATCTAATTGCTAGGCTTCCAATTGCATTGCTTTTTTGGTTTCCTTGAGCATACAAGGTATCGTAAGCAAATGCTCTTTTATTTTGGTTGCCATTTTCCTTTAATTAATAGGGTTCTGATCCACCTACTTTGTAGTAGTAATTATTAATGTGTTTTCTCTTTTTAATGGCAGGTAAGTAGGCGGATAAAGTATGTTGCGTTGATGGTGTGCATAACTGATAAAGAAGATGTGGTCTTGCACATAAAGTTAGTTTTCTGAGTTTTGCAGCCTTTATGTTATATCTGGATATTTCTAGAATTCTTTTCTCAAGTTAGAAAATCATGAGAAACAAACAGAACATCTAAATTCCAATGGATACGTGTGTGCCTGTGTGAACTTTCTCTAGGTGGCAGCCACTAATGTGATTTGCTTCTTACAAGTTGAGTGTGTGGATTGTTAAAAAATTTTGCGCGATGGAGTACCCAACAATGAGATTAGTTGCATGCCAATTATTAACTTTTTAGAAGAACGGAGACAACTTGAGCCTTTTGTAAGTGCTTGAATTTTTCAGTCACATGTTTTCTTCCTTGATTTTTGTTGAATTATGACAAGGTAGTAAGATTTCAGGGGAGGGTGCTATCATAGGAACCATTCCCACTACTAAGTATTAAAGCCAAAACAGTAGATGTCTTTTACAAAACCATTTGATAGGTTTTTTCTTTCCTTCCTCTTTCCAACTTTGTAACTTCTGAACATAATGTTCAGCTCATGTTAGAGAAGAATGTTTATATGCATCTTAGCCTCTTTTAATTTGACTAGGTTCTCTATTCAGTTTCCACCATTTACGGGAATCCCGATGTTGCAAGAAGGCTTTTCAAGATGTTGGAGAGGCTGAATTTTGGTCTACATTTTTCGAGATCGAATAGCTAGGTAATCAATTGAATGTTCTTGTTTTTGTGTCCTTGCTAGGAAAGAGTTGTCATTAATCACACCTTCCATGAAAATCAATCCGAATTGACTGTTTCATTTGTATTTTTTTCTGGACAGGTTCAGAGGTATGAAAGGACTGTGATAAGGGTTGGTCTGATATGCAACTTAAGGATAAAGTGATGGAACTCTACTTCTTCCATGGTTTTTCACCTGTATCTCAAACAATGGCAAGTGCTCGACCATCAATACTTGCGGCTGAAAGCACCATCAAACGGCTGTTCAAAGTTTAATTGTCAATTAAAATATGATTAGCTTTTTGTTGCAGTGTATGTATTGATTACATTGGCCTGTAAATTAATGAACATCAATTTATTTATATTGCCATTTGTATTTGACCATTTTACTTATCCTATTTGTCAATGGACATCTTACTAGCATCTAGGTTATAGTCCTCTATTATTCTATGTTAGTTCTCACTCAACAGTTATTTTTGTTTTGTGATGTACTTGTGACTTGTCTTTTTTAATTTTATCTATTGTTTAATTCTTGATATTCAAATTTTTATTTATTTATTTTATGTTTATGTTTATACTATCTAAAAAATGAGGTGTTACGAGGAGGCAAACATGTTCATTATAAGACGATGGCAAGAGGAGGTAATAATATAAAACAAAAAATGACCGCAATTTTTTTTTCATCTTTGTTTCAAACATTTTTTCTTAATTTAAATGAATTCATTATTGTCAATTAAAAACTATTTATTTTCGTCAAATTCAATTATGCATTTAAGGGTTTGTATAATTCAGCATTCCTTATTATTAGTATTCAAAGGCACTGAATTGGTTATTAAATCTTGTCTATTGATTGGAACGTGTTCATTACTGTACAGTTTTTGAGTGAAGACACTTCGGACTTTTCACCGTACTAACTCAAAAGTGTTAATCCAGTTGGTGGATAAAATTTGATAAATGAATTTGGGGACTTTTGTTTGCTCTATTAGTTTATGTTTTGATTACACCTTTTTTTTTTGTTTTTTTTTTGGGAATTTGATTACACCTTATTTAGATGCATGCTTTTAGGATTCTTTTGTATGCCACTTTTGCATCGTAGCAAATAAATTAATGAATAACAAGAGGTTACATAGATAGTAACAAGCAAGAGGTTACAGTCAACTGCCTTTCTTATTTAGTGTGTATATTCATTTCATTTAGCAGTTTAATTTACCTTAGATGTTGACTTCTTCGTAGTTAAATAGTTAGTAACAAATACTTCTTTTTTGTTTTTGCTTATACTTTCTTAAATGAGGAGGAAAGAAATGAGAGGAGACATCCAATGCATTGGCGACAGGTTACCACAAAGGCCTTCTTTGTTTCAAACATTTGATCTTAATAAATGTTAATGATGGCTTTTGTAGTGGGAAGGGTCAACAAATGAGGTACTTCTCTTCTTCCTTATTGCTTCTTATAGTGCATTAGGAGTTTTAACGTATTGCTATACCAATGTGTTGATATGCATTATGAAGTTGTATTTATTTTCTTCGTTCTCTCTGTTTTTTCTTCGCAATATACTTATATGCATTGGCTTTTTTTTTCTTCTAATTGGATGCTTAACACTTTCATCTTTGGTTTTTAAAGTTTTTTTTTCTTCATTCAATATACAGAAATAGACCAGACATCAGGTGTAGGATCATGTGGGGGAGAGGGGTTCTGACACATTCATAGATGCCGCGTGGACCAATAGGAGATATTCTTAGAGATGATGACACTACAACACAAAATCCTTCTAGCAAAGTAACATATTTTTAACTCATATTCAATTTTCTTTCCTTCTACATCTTCTTAGTAACAGCCGTTTCATTTCCGTCATAAAATATTCTCTCTCTCTCTCTCTCTATCTCTCTCTCGTTTGTGTGTTTTTGATTTGTTTTTGACCCGTTTCCAATTAGCTGAATCTTTTTTCCTTTTAATGTGATAGAACTGCTTTTTCACCGACCGTTGTTATGGGGCCACATGAGCCGACTTTGATTTGTTGATTATCCATCCTTATTTTGCTAGTTTTAGTTCTAGAAAAAACTAGTACGTTTCTAATTAATTGAATGGAGAAGATCATTATCTACTTATTCTATAGTTCAGTTTCAAGTGATTTAGAATGAGATAGATTGAATTTGATTATATTCTTCTATTGTAGAAAATTTCTCACTTCTTGAAGCCGCATGAAATTGAGGAAAAAAAGAAAAAGGAACATTTGATAGATTTGGTGAAAACCAAACTATGTGGTTGTAGTATTTCTCTACATAAGTATATATAACAATTGTATGGTTTAAGAGTGATTTAATTTCTTTTAGCTATCAAATTAAACTTTTTGGATGTAGTCTCTCTCTCTAATTCAAATTTTGCTTCTCTTTGTCAAAAATTTTGATAAGCTTCCATTCTGTTGTGACAAATGCATGTCTGTAGTTTGTGCTAACGAGATAGAATTTATGATGACTGTTGTTAGTGGAAAAAGCCAGCCAAACAAGCTTTGTTTCTTTTTCCTTATTGCCTTTTATATGGGTCTCAACCAATTGTGTATACTAATGAGTTGATGTGTCTTCTATAGTTTTATTGATTTCGTCTTTTTTTTTTTTGTAAAGGGGGGTGGGGTTGGGTTTATTTCCTTCTTACTATTAGCTTTATTTCTATTCCGCGCATACTGATGTGCATTATTTTATTCTATTTAAAGCTCGAGTTTGAAATTTTCCTTTTCATTCTTTATTGTAGGATCCTCAGTGGTTCTTCCTAAAGCCAACTAAAAAGAAAAGGAAAAAGAATAGAAAGAAAAAATGAAAAACTAGAGCCCGTTCGGTTCGCTAATTCGAGTTTTTGATTCGAGTTGAGATGTGATGTTGTGTGAGAGCTTTTTACTGTAGTAAAAAAGTTAGATGTGACTGTTTCTGAGAGTTTTTTACTGTAGTAAAACTTGAATTCTAAACTCGAATCAGTGAAAAGAACGGGGCCTAAATAAACAACTGAAAAAGAAGAGTAAAATGGAGTAAACACGATAGTTTGCATAATTTTTATGCGTGAGGTATTCATGTTCAGTTTTCTTCGTGGTTTTAGCTAGACAAATTCTTGTATAGTTTGTTTGGGGAGGCTGCCTTGTAAACACTATTTCTTCAAGCATGAGAAAAGGCTCTTGAAAATGGTTGGTTTTACTAGCGTGTTAATATTGTATGTGTGTGTGTGTGTGAGTTTGTTGTTTAGATTTTACTTTTATTTATAGCATATTGCATTTCAATCATGGTCCTAATCTATTTCAGGGTGTGAAATAGGATCCTGAAAAAGAAACTTGAAAGGCGGTAGCAAGAAGATTTGGAATTTACTTATAAATTTGACATATTAGTGTTTGTTATATGGTTTGCTTTTTTCCTAATTAGTTTGTGTAAATCTCATGTACCTCTATTGTCCTCATTATAAAAAAGCTTGATTGCAATTAACATGGTGAGATTCAAGGTGTAATGTGACATTATATTTTCTTGTGTTGCTTGATGAAAATTGTTAGAAAGGGTTTGTGTCGCCTTGTATAACTGAGTAATGAATCTCATGACAGTTTGTTATCATAATAAGAAAGCTCTTTTCACAAGACACAATAGGGAACAAATCTCATAACGCTTATGTAGTCTAATTTTCTTTGGAAACCATCACTTTTCTAGGGATTGTAGATTGATTAAGTTTGTTCTTGTATAGGTAGTGAACTTTGTGTTCTTATGACTTGAAAACTCAAATTATATTCTTACTAATTATGTTGATAACTTTCTTTTTTGTACATCTCTTCCCCTAAAAATCATGTTGCAACTTTTATGTTTGTCATTTACTTTTCTTTTCTAACTATTGAACTTTCCATTTCAGAAAAATTCTCAAACCTTAACAGTTTCAAAAACCACAATGGGATACGCTGTCTCTAGCTGAAACACTTGACTAACGAGTGGGTAAATACTTTATTGAAGTTATACAGTTTGCTTTATTGAACTTTATGCGACACTTACTAACGTCTTTTCCTTGTTATAAGCTAGAGAAATGATGTAGGTAACACAAGGATAAACTCCATATCCTATTATGAAATTTTAATGAAAAAAATAATTAAAAAAAAAGCGACAAGAGTGGAAAGAAAAGGAAGAGAAGAATAAAAAAGTTAAATAGAAAAAGGAAGGGGATAAAAATATAACAATGCCATGGAATAGAATAGAAATGGAGGGAAAAGAAAAAGCGTAGAGAGAGTGATATAGAGAAGAAACACCTTAAGTATCGTCAAAGGTAGAGATTTAATGAAACTTACTTTGTAGTCTTCGTATTTTGTACTATTATGTATTTTTATATTATGCAGTCTTAGTACTGTTAATTACTTTTTATCTGTGAAATTAATGTTTTCAATTTAAATTTGCGTCTGGCCTTATCATTATCCTCATTTTCAAAAGAATGAGATAGTGCGCTTAGTCAAAGAGATTTTGACAGTAGGTATTATATATTCTAGCACTAGCCCATTTTCTAGTCTGGTTTTATTAGTCAAGAAAAAAGCTACCTGGTAACTAGCGTTTTTGTATTGATTATAGAGCCTTAAACAAGGCTACTCTCCCTGACAAATTTCCGATTCCAGTAATTGAGGAATTACTTAATGAACTTCATGGGGCAGCGATATTTTCTAAACTGGATCATAAGTTAGGCTATCATCAGATTCACATGAAGCAAGAGGACGTGCCTAAGACCGCTTTTCATCTGCTTTTCGGACGCACGAAGGCCATTATGATTTTTTGGTGATGCCATTTGGCTTAACCAATGCTCCAGCAACCTTTTAGGCGTTAATAAGTGATATTTTAAAGGATTATTTGCGGAAGTTTGCGTTGGTTTTTTTTTATGATATATTGGTGTATAGCAAAACGTTAGAGGAGCATTTGGGTCATTTGGAGTTGGTTTTTTTGGCGTTGGAAGAACATAAACTCTATGCTCACAGGAAGAAATGTTCTTTTGCTCAACAACAATTGGAGTATCTTGGTCATATTATCTCAGCGCATGGGGTAGCTATGGATAATTCTAAAATTCAGGTCATGCTTGATTGGCTGCAACCGAAATCTCTTAAGGAGTTGAGGGGGCTTTTGGGTTTTGACAAACTACTACTAGAAATTCGTGGAGGGGTATGGGAAGATTTCTTGGCCTTTGACTCAACAACTGAAAAAAAATGCTTTTCATTGGAACGAGGTTGAGTCCGCTTTTCAACAGTTGAAGAAGGCTATGGCAACAGTTCCAGTTCTTGCTCTACCTGATTTTTCTAAGCCTTTTTTGGTCGAAACAGATGCTTCAGGGGTTGGCTTAGGGCGCAGTTCTTATGCAGGACCAGCGATTGATTGCTTATTATAGTCAAGCCCTTTCGGCTTGCGCCCGTTTCAAATTCGTTTATGAGAGGGAGTTAATGGCGATTCTTTTGGCTATTCAAAAATGGCGACCCTATTTGCTTGGCAGGAGATTTGTGGTGCGTACAGACCGAA